GACGGCTGGCTTGCTCAACACAACCCAGCGTTACAATGTGCCATAATTCCAGCCAATCAGAGACCGAGGCTGCTAAATTCTGATTGGCTGCCTTGACAACCAATCACAACATTCCTTGCATTGCTGATGACAGCGGAAGAGGGAAAATACAGTGCATGCATAATTATTATGCAAGTTGATATTCTGATTATATTTTTTTCCAAGCACATTTTACCAATAATTATAACTACTATTAATCTTGTATTTATTCACTTATAATCGATATTTCTATATATTATTGTTCATGAAGGCTGGAAGTGAAAAACGCCTTATATTCAGGTGTGCATAATTATTAAGCAGGTTATCTTCTACAGATAAAATCTCGAGATGGACTAAAAATGAACTCCCAAAACTTACTGCCAGATTCTGGAAGATAAATTCTTCAAACAGTGGTACAAGAGGATGTGGTGCTGGTCCTTCAAGAGTCACTCTCAATTTATCTGTCTATAAAACCTATAAAAAAAAATCAGTCTTCAAGTATTTTACTACACTTCAGTATGTGATTCTTATTAAGTAAGGGTCATTTTCTGATTCTATACTTAACCTAAGTCTCTGAGAACCTGACACCTTGTACTTCTGGAGACTATAGGTAGGTTGCAGTTCTAGAAAATGGTGGTGCTGGAGATTTCACACCTAATTCTTCACCTTAATTCCTAATTCGTTTGCAGTTAACATGCATCTTTTCTTCTTCACGTTTTTGACTGACCCTGCTGACCTACTGAGCATTTTGCTGTCCAATGGTTATGCATTAACTTTGCAATTTCTAGTATTGTATTAGTTTTGAATATTTCTCATGGGCATTTAATAATTTTTGACTTTCAGTGCCGAGCCCAGTCGTACCACGCAGTGGAAAAGCACCATTGGAACCCCAACCGAGGTGGTACTAAAAAAAGTACCAGGTACCAGGTACTGTACCCAGTGGAAAACCCCCCAAAACTGAACCACCATGCAGTGGAAAAGCGCCAAAAGCGCCAACTGAGGGCCGGCATCAGGTGAGCAAGCTAGTGAAACGTTGCACGTGCAAAAGAGAAGGTAGAGAAGGTCCCAAAAACATTTTAAATGCAAAATTGATTCATACGCACCAAATACTTTCTTCTTTGTGAGACAAACATTTTCTCCACAAAACTCAGATCACGCGCGTGCAAAACGCACTTTGCGCGCTCAAAATATGATCTTTCGCCCGCAGAATTGTGGCAGAGATGTAATCCCATAAGAGCCTTGCACCGCCACGAGGGGGCCCGATGCAGTAACACAGGAGCATCAGCAGTCCAAAAAAAAAAAGAGCTTCACAGGACAGGCGGGAGTGCGCAGTGTCGCGAAC